AATCAACATCATGGTGAAACTAAAGATTGCTTTGGATTACTCATGGACGAAGATGAAGCAATTGTGTCTGACTGGGAAGAAGTTGTAGAAAACATCCATGAGATGAATTTAAATGATGAATTGTTGCGTGGCATCTATGAATATGGTTTTGAAAAGCCTACAGCTATTCAACAGCGCGCTATTTCGCAATGCATCAAGGGGCATGATGTTATTGTCCAGGCACAATCTGGTACTGGAAAGATAACTGCTGTGTTGATTTCAATCCTCCAACAAATAAATACTAGTTTGAACAAGTGTCAAGCCCTCATTATGGTACCTTCATTTGAGATTGCTCATCAGATTCAAAATGTAAGTTTATTTTTTTAATTACATTTTGAATTGTGTAAAACTTTAAATGATAACCTCATTTTTAGGTGCTTAATGTGTTGGGTAAATTCATGAAAGCAGAATGTTGTGCTTGCACTGGCTTAAAGAACGTCTACGATTATGTACGTGAGCTGAATACTTTCCCCCATGTAGTGGTTGGGACTCCTTCTTGTGTTCATGATTTAATTAATAAATGTCTTTTACGGAGTAAATTTATCAATATATTTGTATTGGTGGAACCTAATTTATTGTTTTATCGAGGTAGTAAAGTTCAAATTGTAAAGGTGTTCAAGTCCCTAGAAGAAAATACCCAGGTTATTTTATTATCTAGTCAAATGTATAAAAAAGCTTTAGATGAGAGCACTCAATTTGTGAGTAATCCGGCACTCATTATTATGCAGAAAGAAGAACTAACACTGGAAGGTATGTAGAATAACAAGTTTTCGTACTTTGTTAGATCTACATTTAATTTATAATTAATAAAAATAAAAATAGATAAACTTAATATTTAGCTTTCAAACAATTTTACATCAACAATTCTCAGAAAATTGAGACTCTCAATGGACGTTCCAGCAAATCTATTAACTACGTTCTGTACTCAGAACCACCTAAGATGGATGTTGGTGGGACTATTGACTCTGACTGGAATGTTGTGGTAGATAACTTTCATGACATGAATTTAAAAGAAGAATTGTTGCGTGGTATTTATCAATATGGTTTTGAAAAGCCATCCTCTACTCAACTGCGTATTTTTTTGTCATGCATTATGGGACATGACATTATTGTTCAGACTCAATCTGGTGTTGGAAAGACAACTGCTGTGGTGATTTCAATTCTTCAACAAATAGATACTAGTTTGAACGAGTGCCAAGCACTCATACTGGTTCCGTCAGTTGAGTTGGCTCGCCAGATTCAAAAGGTAAACTTAGTTTTTATAATTAAAATTTGAAATGTTTATAATACAACATTGATTTTAGGTGGTTATTGATTTGGGTAAATTCATAAATGCAGATTGTCATGCTTGCATTGGTATTGAACAGTATTGTGGTTATATTCAAGAGCCATATACTGTCTCCCATATCGTGGTTGGGACACCAGCCTGTGTTTCTGATTTGATTTGTAGAAAATCACTAAGAACTCAATTTATCGAGACATTTATGTTGGAGGAACCTAATAAACTGTTGTCTGGGAGTATCAACATTCATATCGAAAAGATCATAGGATCCCTTGATAAAGGTACTCAGGTGATATTATTATCTAATCAAATGTCCGAAAAATCTTTTTATGAGAGCTCTTACTTCATGAGTAATCCAGTACACATTTTTATGCAGAAAGATGTATTAACATTGGATTCCAATTTGGAAGGTATGCGTAATAAGTCGTTATCAATACTTTCTCAATTATAAACCCTTATTGTTGTTATTTCTTTATTTGATTTTTAATTAAGTGTTATTTAAATAGGCATAAAACATTTTTTTGTCAACTTCACCATGGAAGAATGTAAATTTGACAGTTTATGCAATTTGTTTGATACTCTAAGTATTACCCAGGTTGTGATATTTTGTAACACATGCTATAAAGTAGAGTGTTTGACTGAGAGTATGCGTTTGAAAAGATTCAACGTATCGGCTATGCATCGAGAAATGGATCGTCAGCAAAACA